TTTGCCCCCCTACCAAAAAAAAAAAAAAAAAAAAAAAAAAAAAAGTACAAAGCACTCTTCTATTACCTGCTGGTCCCTGAACACTGGGAAGACAAAGTCATACTTCTGACCTTACCTGTTTTTTAACATTAGTTGTTAAATAATGGACAAAAGAACACATCTCATAACTTACCCCTCAAACAGGCAAGAGTATGCCATTAACAAACTTTGGTTCCTGTTAAGTGTCTAAATTCAAAACTGGGAGGAGGCCAAGTCCGTTTTCCCTGGCTTGTACTCATTATCATTAGGATGCCTGAAACTCCTGTTATAAATTCTTAACACTGATCCCCAATTCTCATGATTATTTGCAAAAGTCACAGAATTTTTCTACAGTTCTAAATTCATCTGTATAGAAGTATATATCAGTGCAAGAGGACATGCCTGCTTGATTTACCTGATCACTAACAAGAATGTGAATACCAGTGGGACCCTGTCTGTAAACCTGGTTAATTTGGTGGAAAGGAATATTAAACACCAACGCAAGTTTTCGAGCAACTTCCGAGGCAACCATTTCTTCCAGGTAGATTGCATGATAAACTGAAAGAAAAAAGAACAGTGTTTTATCAATAACCTTTTATCTATGTTCTACTTGGTCTCTGGGTCTCTTTCAAAGTATAAAAATTAAAAATTTATGAATAGGAACAAATTAACATTTCTTCCTTACTATCTTAAAATCTCCAAGTACCACCTGAAATAAAAGAATACAATATATATAATGTACTAAACATTAACAGTAATTCCTGTATAGAAGGATCTAAGGTTGTAATTTTTCTATTTTTCTATTTTTCTGCAATGACTACGGAATATGGAATTCATGTATTCAAAATTGAGAAATGAAGTGTTTCAATCCTAGGGTCTCAAAACCCCACCACAACAAAGGACTGCAAACATGGGGGATCTTTCTCGAGTAATCCAACTTGAACTGCATCGTGGCCTTGAGTGCCAAACAGAATTTATCAAAACTACCACGGAGGGCTGGGGATTTAGCTCAGTGGTGCTGCCTCGTGCCTTGCAAGTACAAGATCCTGATTGATCCCCGGTACCAAAAAGAAAAAAAAAAAAAGTACCATTGAGATGTATACATCCAAAAGGAGCATTTTATGGTAAATATCAGAAGAAAACTATTTTTTAAAAATACGCCTTTCTACAAATTTATTAAAACCAACCTAAAAGGGTCATAATTTTTGACCAGTCATCCTATCACTGTGAATTTATCCTAAGGAATAAAAGCTCTCTGTACCAGCCCCCATCGCCCAAATTAAAAATAATGTAAAAGATACCAAGTGAAAAAAGCTAGGATAGAAACACCGAAGCCTGGTTCTTCCTTACAAAAGTCCCAGCCACAACCCATGCACGCATGTTCTCGTACATGTAACTCATCAGCAGAGGCCATCCACACCGTGCCACTACAATGAGTCACATTTGTATAGGTCCTGTCAATCACTGATTCAAGCCAGATGTGGATTAGGAAAGCAGACAGTGAGAACCTTTTCCTTGTGTGCGGATTTATGTAGAAACCTTTGCTAATTATACATTATGTGGCTTACTCTGGTGGCAGTAATAGTCCGTTCCTGCCTTTCAAAACAGGTAGTTGTACATTCTTGACTTAAAAAGGGGGGGAGGGAGAAAGAGAGGATGGGTCTGTATTTTACGTGTGTGTGTATGTGTGTGCGCACGCGCACGCATATGTGCACTTAGCATAGAACCCAGGAACTCGGCACACTAGGCAAGTACTCTAGCACTGAACCACACCCAAGCCCTAAAGATATTTTTTGTACAGTACTGAGAACTGAACTCAGGTCCTTGCGCTTGCTAGGTAAGCACTCTAATGCTGAGCTATAACTCTGTAGTATTTTGAGAGAGGGTTCCACTAAGTTGTCTGGGCTGGCCTCAAACTTTAAATCCTCCTGCTTCATGCTCCTGAGTAGCACAATTACAAGTGTACGACACTGAACCCCACATGCTTTGCTTTATTTTAGGTACCGGGGATCGAACTCAGGACCTTGCACTTGGCAAAGCAGGTGGCAGCTAAATCCCTGATCCCCACCTGCTTTATTTTAAAGACCATACTCTGATGTTTTACAGTTAACACAGGAATTAACAGATAAATACTGTTAAACTTTTGTTCGGTAATGAGTTTATTTATATGGACAGTATGATTTATCATTTTTTAAACCAAATACCTCCTCAGTAATTTATAATGGCTTTGCAGTAATGTGCATCAAATAAGCACTGGAAAACTGTCTCTAGGATGATATGCATATTTCAAGTGGTACTGAAAGCCACACGGGTATCTGTCACTAATTAAAAAAAGATAAAGACCATACTCAGATGAGGGAGGGGTCAGAATTTTGATATCTATAGTAATACAGCACTCCACCATATAATTAAGAAAAACCCTCAAGATGAGGCTCCCCTAATGCTCGGAGAGAGAATAATAAATGACTGACAATGGCACAAGGAGGCAGCACCACACCCATCTCACACTGGGCCGGCAGACAGACAAGTCTGTGGTATTTAAAAGAAATTTAAGAGTATCCTCCGGTCAGAAGCTGCACTCAGTGGTAGAGTACTTGCAAGGCCCTGGGTTCAATCCCCAGCACTGTGCAAAAGGAGTAAGGAGTTGGGGGGACTGGTCAGATAGTAAAATGGAGGGAAAAGAAAAACATTCCTGTTTTCTTATCAAGCCACCAATGTTATATTCATTTCATTAAATCTGAGTTTAAGGGGGGAAAGCCAGCAAAAATCTCAAAGCATATAAGACCGGCATTTCTGGCGTGAAGGGCCACATAAAAGAGATCCATGGAGAGGCTCATAACTGAGGCTGTTAGCCTCCTGTCACTGTTGTCAGACTCCGCTATCAGCCACTTGGTGGTCCTAACACAGTCCTCATAAGCCCTGCTCAAGTCCTTCCAATTTCTGGCAGTCTCAGAGGAAAAAAGAAGTGTGGATGCCCTCACACTCACCGTAGGGTGTCCCACTGCCACTCTTGCCTCCACCGCCTGCAGCTTGCTGCTGCCCTTGCAGTGCTGTGCTACTTGGCTGCTCCTGGCAGACATAGATGGTTAAGCGCGGCCTAACCGACCTGCAATCAAAACAGCCACTTGTGAGCCTAGTGTGAAAGCTGCCTTAATGCATGTATAAATGACCACTACAGGAGTCTAAGTTCTAGTTCCTTAGAGAGCTTTACAAATGTTATTTCATTATTCAAAATAATTTACTAATAAAAATATAAAAACCACACACCTCACACCAACTATCACAGGTGGTCTAATATGATGATCCAGACTCTAAACCATTGAGATGGTCTGTCAGATGCTGGTAAATTTAAGTTTCAAGATTAAGCAAGCAATTTAAAATCAGTAAGGCTCGATTTTAATGGAATTCTCACACCACAGGTCTAAAAATAGCAATGGATAATAAATCAATCTTAAAAGTCAGCAATTTACAGTTCTCATTTTAATTCACAATTAGAAGTTTACATTTTTAATAACTGTTTAATAATAGTCATGACCTTGAAAACCATAGATTCTGTAGAGCTCACCTAAATTAGAAGTTTTGTTTTCTTGGCAACAAACCCAGTCGTCTTCAAGAACTCAGTACTGCCCATGTGCTTTGCTACCAGTCTTACAGTCTACCTCTGCCCTCTCAGTGCCTGCATCATATCTGGGCCTGCCCTGAAGGTGTACACAAAACAGTCTTCTTGTGAGCACGATGCTGCCGATGCTCGACGGCGCACACAGGCACATGCCGACCTAGCGTGGAAACACATTCTGCCCGAGCCCCCCACGCGAGAAAGGTGCGTTCTTACGTCACATAAAACAGTCCACAGTATTTTACCTTGACTTCAGTGAATTATAGAGCCGAATTCCATCGGCTGCACCACAAATTTGAACTAAATCCTCCTTTGTCAGTTTTAATAAGTCGGCACCTGAAGAAGAGCAGATTCTCAAATAAATGGAAAAAGAACAGATAGAACTGTTTGACAGGCACCTGTCTTTACATGGTTAAACAGCCTTCAAAAGGGCAACAGACCTCCTGGATATACATATATATGTGAGAACACAAGAAGATATACGTACACACCCATCCCTCAAAGCCAAAGAAAATGTTGGCTTTTCAGTGTCCTGTATCAAGAAGCCTAGACACCTAGAAGCCAGTAAATCAAATCCTTGAGCAGGTCCTATAGGACCATTTGTTTCCACCACAGATCTTACTGCTCACCTCACCTAGGGGCTGTGGCTATCTAAATGTGATTCTGAACCCAGATAAAACTTGGAGATTGCCTGGGAACAGTGGATCTTTTCTTTTCTTTTACAAAAGAAGAACTGGACCTCTATACAGTTTTGGGAACTTGCCCAAAGTCACATAATAAGTTGACAGAGGAAGGCTTGGCTCTTTTTATACTGCAACATGCAATGTCAAGAAACACATTCTGTAACGTAACAAAACTCCGGCACAGCAGCCAGTCTCAACAGGAAAGCATGGCAGAGAATCACACATTGTTCAGACTGCCCGTGTAAATGTCTGGTACTGTAAGTATCACCCTAAGATACAACAGAAAGGTACAAGGGGAATTAGTGGAAAGCAATACTGGTCAAAGTTTGATCAGTTTTGAAGTTAAGGGTGGCTACAAAGGAGTTCATCACACTCTTTAAGCTTATGTTTGAAGAGGTCCATAATCTGTTTTTGCTTTCTCTAAAAGTCAAGATACAGTATGATAGTTTTTCTTTTTCTCCTTCCCTGTTTCCTTTCTCCCCACTCCTCTTCAATCCTGGGGACTGAACCCAGAGCCTTGCACATGCTAGCGAAGTGCTCTACCACTGAACTACATTCTCTGGCCCCAAGATGTAGTTTTCCAGGAATGTATGACTTTCATATAATGTATATCTACTCCTAAATTTAACAAGATCAGGACTTGAATGTGAGAGTCTAACAAATTTCTTGTTTGTAAAAGTGACAAGAGAAACAGAACTCCCATGAGACATGAACGCTGATGCAGTCATTTTACAAAGTCAGCTAAGCAGAGAAACAGGCTCTCCTATCTTTCTTCTAGGGCCCGCTATACACACCTCTGAAGCAGTGCTTACAGTTGTGACCAGCGATGTGTGTGTGCATGTGCAGCCTGAACATTTAAAGAGAACTGGACACCTGCTACAAGCACAATCCTTTCTGATGCACGAGTGCTCAAGAGGCTTTACTCTTACAGTCAGTACAGAGACTCAGGCAATGCCAGAGGGACACAATTAGCTCCCTGTGCCTCCTCCAGAGGAAGTACACAGGTGAAGTTAAGGAGATCACTATTCAGAGGGAAAACAGCCTAGAATCCCCAAGGCAGAAACATCTTACACACAAGGAGTAATCAGGGGCTGACCTCAGTTCCAACCTACCAGTGTTATGTGCCATGCTTTTCATCCACCTGCCCTACAAAGAAAGGTTCAAGATGGCACCCTCCCCTGCCCTGAACTGTACAATTTCTAGGTTTTCGAACATGATAAGCTTTAGTCATATAAAAATGTGGATTCCAGATAGCAAATGACTTCCACCTGGTACCTTAGACAAAGCGCTACAGGGGAATGACGACTCCCTGCAAAAACAGTGAAATAAATACTGTAACAGAAAACTAAGCTCTTTGTGAAATCACACTTGGCTTCGGGATGGGCATGTGTACACGTATGATGTCCTCTTACAAGGCCCAAGCTATGTTTCTGAGGCCCCACAGCACCACAAGGAAAAGCTACCAGTCTACTGTGACCCAGCATTTCTCTGGGCATGGTTAAACAGGACATCAGATGTTTTGTGGGAAGAGTCCTGGGGCCAAATATATTTGGAAATGCTGCTCCTGCCCCACCTGGCATACCTACAACTGTCCTCTAAACAGGTCCCCTAGCACATGCCTAATGAGACAAGGATTTAAAGCTTGAGTCCTACACCTGGGCACTTAGCAAGACTTTATTTCCAAATAAAATGTTAAAAAGGAGCTTTGGATATAGCTCAGTGTCAAGTGCCACAAAAACTAACTCAAAACATAACAAAACAAATATCCGGTCTCCTTCTGCACCACCTGGGGCAGCACTGCTTAATTCCAGTGCTTTTAAAATTCCATCCTATTACTCCCTCTACTTAATATGCAACAATAAAACTGACACTGTTTTATCTAAAACCCATACCAGAGTGTATGAAATAACTACTTCAAAATAAAAAGGAGCAACATTTATGGCAAGTTGGTAGATTCTGAGATCATTAGGCTGAGAAGGAAAAAAAAGCCAATCCCAAAATGTTATACACTGTATGATTCCTTTTATGTAATTATTTTCAAAATGACAAAATCATGAAAGAGTTTACCAAAGGGGAGAAGGGTGTGCATATGATACAGAGGGTAGTGGACACAGGTGGGGCAGGAGCAGCATTTCCAAATATATTTGGCCCCAGGACTCTTCCCACAAAACATCTGATGTCCTGCTTAACCATGCCCAGAGAAATGCTGGGTCACAGTAGACTGGTAGCTTTTCCTTGTGGTGCTGTGGGGCCTCAGAAACATAGCTTGGGCCCTGTAAGAGGACATCATACGTGTGCACATGCCCATCCCGAAGCCAAGTGTGATTTCACAAAGAGCTTAGTTTTCTGTTACAGTATTTATTTCACTGTTTTTGCAGGGAGTAGTCATTCCCCTGTAGCACTTTGTCTCTTCAAGGTACCAGGTGGAAGTCATTTGCTAGATATTGATATTCTACTAGAATTGTAAGAGAAACTGAGTTGAAGGTATACTGGATCATCTGTGCACTGTCTTTACAACTCATTATAAAGCAATAATTATTTCAAAATAAAGTTAAAATGTTGCATAGAACACAAACATACAAGTCTGGCGAAACTATCGATTGTTTACTGCAGGGAGAAACTAGGTGATAGGTAACACAGGACTCTCCGTTTTGTTTTACAATTTCATGCATAATAATTTCAAAAAATTTAGTTAAGTCTCAAGGTTAGTAAAAGCACAGCAACCAACAATAAAACACACAAAAACACACAGACATACCTGAAAAATTAGAAAACAGTCTTGTGTAGGAAGAGAATCTGTTTTTGAGAAGCCACTGCTGTGTTTCCTGGGTTGTAGCTGAAGGTTGAATTTGCTATTAACAAAGAAAATGACAGTAAACAGATAAAACCATTCAAATTTAACAAAAAACAACACAAGTCTCTGGCACTTTAAAAAAGAGTGATTGTTTTAAACAAAGGCTGGGAAGGTAGCTCAGTGGTACAGCACTTGCTTAGCATGGGGGTTTCACTACCAGTATAAAAAAAAAGGGAATTTACAGGAAGCCTCAGAGTGAAGTAAAACACACCAAAGAAGAATATGATTCTGACCACTCAGCAACCTACGTGACTTAAGCCCTTATCAGAAAGTTTAATATGTAAGATCCTGAAAGTATCCAGTAGTTTGAGAGAAAATATACTTACCTCACCAGGTACCTGTGAAACTCCATCTCCCTGATGATTTGGGGAAGAAGAATTGCTGGGGAAAAAGGAAAACGAAAAAGTGATTTTCATAATTGTTTTCAAAAATCAAGACGTTAAATATTAAACTGGGCAACACTTGGGGCCAGGGATTTAGCTCGGTGCCACTGCCTGCCTCATAAACACAAGGTACTCAGTTTGATTCCCCAGTGCCAATGAATGAATGAATGAATGAATGAAGCAACAGCATGAGAGATCTCTCTGTAAACCTGCCAGAAGAGTACAACACAATGGGTGAGCAGTGGACAGGACAATGAGAAGAAAATACATGGAAGGCTGCACCTCAACTCATGCCTTCTCTGTCCTACTGTGAAATCCAAGTCTTATGAAAAGGACTCCAAGAAAATGAAAAAGGATATTCATTCATCTTAGGAGAAAACGTATGAAATAAACAGCTGAAAATAACTGCAAAACAATCTACTTTTAGAATAGTGAGCCACAAGAAACAATGTGTTAATACATATATCCACGAGTAAAGATGATGAAAGAAATAAACTCGTAGCATTAACCTTGTGTTTCTAAGGAAAAATGAGAATAGAAAACAATTCCACGGAGGATGTGTCTATCTTCCTGGCTCCTTTCCTCATACAGGCTCCATTCTTAGGACCTGCTCCTCAGTTACCTAGGTTTATGTTGATTATTTACATCCTCCTCAACTCACTTGCACTTAAGCTCTTCCCAAAAACGATTTGTATGTCCGGTCACTTATGTTTTATCACAGCACCTAGAACTGTGATGAGAACACAGTGGGCTCTCAGGAAACACCCAATCAAGTGGGTACATGAATTCATAGCTCATCTTGAAGGTCTTAGACATTTTTTAAGAATTTTCAGACTAGTCTGGTCAGGAAACTACACTTGATCTTAGCCAAAAGGCCGAGAAGCGATCTGGTCAGGAAACTAGAGAAGACCTCTTCCATAGGAACACTCCATATAAGTCTGTGTTCTTCTACTCTTAAAGCACCATAACCTGTAAGAAGATGAGTGCCTTCCCAGCTCATCCATCTCCACAGGGGAGAAAAGCATTATTTTGTTTTCTTATCGAATTCTGTCAGCATGACCAGAGATGTAACAAAAATACCCTTTCTCTTGTGGTCTTAGTTTTTGTAATTTTTCTCTTCAATGAGAAACTTCCTTAAAATAGGAAAATTCTGACCTCAACTACTCTGAATTACTTCTCCAGCAAAGGCCCCGGAAATGGAAGGCCCCATAGGATCTTGCTGCAGCTTTCAGATGCCTCAAACCTAGTATCCTACTCCTACCCCAAGCTCCTTAGATTTAAAAAATTTTAAAAGAGAAGAAGTGCTGTCTGTCTTGAGGGAAGAGATGGGGCAGGAAGTAATCCAACTGATATGGTAAGCATTAAAGCCCAATGTTCTTAACATACTGAAGTCAAGGTTTCACTTTAACAACTCATTCTACCTTTAACTACAAATCCTAATATTGTCTTTAATCTCACAAAAACTGTATCTTGAAAATGCCCCGATTTTGTAATTACCATAACCATGAAGATGTGGAGTATACAGAGCTGGGCCCCAAAAGGCTGTCAAGTGAAGGAGAGAATGGCTGTGCTTCTTCCCGTCACTGTACAGTTCAGACACAGAACGGTTAGGAGAGGGAGGGCCGAAGGGGCACAAGCACGAGTGAGTAAGGCGGAGGTGCAGGCGCGCGACCACGCAAACCAGGTACCTGTCTGGCACACTGCAAGTGCTCTGCTGGGAAGAGGTGAAAGTGGGTGCTGGGGAAGGGCTGTTATTCACATAGGCTGTGGGGGTGTCAGGCCACGGAGAACACTGAGGACAGAAAAAGAAAGAAATTAATGGCACACTTTTAAATACGTGGAAGAAATACTTTTGTAATTAAGTCTCTAGTCTTACCAACCTAAGATTATAAAACGCAAAATGCCTGAAGGTTACCACCCTCGCAGACGTGTCAAATTTACCTTGTGGCAAAGAAAAATTTTACCTGCGAGGTGCCTCTAGACACTGATTAATCTTAGAGAAGACCTGAAGTGATGACAGCAGCAAAAATTTATAAAAACATTTTAAATATATACTTAAGTATAATCTGCTTTCAAGGGCTTTCACTTCCCTTTCTACCAGTATCCTCTCTGTCAGTTCCCCAACAGGCTACCCATCAAATTTTAAAAATAGCAAGGACACGAAAGGATTCATAAGCAACAGCTGGCATCACAGGGTGACCTGTGTCTCATGGCTTGCTCCTTCTGCCCTCTCCCTGAGAGGCAGCCTCCCCAGTACCCATCAACTTCCTTGACCTCTTACGATTAATAATCCCCAGGGAAGATCAGACAGGCCCAGCCCACACCACTCCATGTATAGTATTGCCTCTACCTCCACCCATCTGCCCGTCCACTCACAAGGGTTCAGTTACATATTCTGAAAGGGAAACTATGACCAGAGATAAGAGCAAAGATACAAAGATGCACTATTACAATTAGGAGAGTTAAAAGAGCCAAAGTCAAAAACATGCTGAATAGGCTAGGGTAGGGAGATTCAAATAGATATTTCAGACCCGAGGAAAGGAAGAAATCCATTTCACTCCATAGATATTCTTTTGACAACTAAGCTGTGAAGGTAACCCATCCCCCTTTCATAATCACCCTGCTCCCATTTTACACAAAAAGGCATCACATTTAACCACAGCCCAGAGGTTTAAGGCACTCCAAAGCCAAGCAAAGCATATTCGGATAAACAATTTAAAAAGTACAAGATTCTAATGACTTAAGTTTTTCTCTAAAGTTGTTCTCAATTTTTTGTTTTTAAATTAATTGAGGACAACTATGTCAGCTGTCATAGTATTTTATTAGAACACACAAAAAGATACATCACTGGATTTTGGGCAGATGATGCACAAGGCATGACAAGTTTTGAATGGCATGCTAAAAGAAAATAAAGTCTCTCACATCTTTGTTTCTTTTTGTGGCTTTTTTGGAGAAACATTTTGTTACGTAGTTCAGGTTGGCCTTGAACTCACTATGTAGTCCAGGCTGGTCTCAAATTGTAGTGATCCTCCTACCTCAGCCCCCCAAGAGCTGAGATTACAGGTGTGCACCACCACGCCTGGTATCTCACAGCTATATAAAAATCTGAAAGTTGGCCAGGCGTGGTGGCACACACCTGTAATCTCAGCATTTGGGAGGCTGAGGCAGGAGGATCGCTGTGAGTTCAAGACCAGCCTGGGCTACATAGTGAGTTCCTGGTCAGTCTCAACTACATAGTGAGACCCTGTCTCAAAAAACAAAACAAAACAAAAAACAAAGTTTATGTTCTGGCCTGTCTCCTTATTCAAGGTGCATTTCAATAGCATTTCTATTTTTTATTTAATAATTTACCAAAATGTACATGTTTTGTTGTACTGATAAACTGGTACTATTACTAAATTTTAAATTTCTTGACAGAGATTATGGAAATTTACACAGAAAGTTTTAAAAATTAAATTTATATTTATAAAAGTTTATTGTAGAGTGGTTATTAAAAGATTTTCAGATATAAAGTATGTCACATTAAGGTTAAGTTTTTTTTTTAAATTTTTTTTCTTCCCTCCCCTCCCACTTCCTCCCCTTCTTGGAACTCAACCACTGAGCTGTACACACCAACTCCCACATTAGGATAAAATTTAAAGGGCGTGGAATAAAAACATGAGACCAAGAAGGAATAGTAAACTGGACTTAAGTGACAATCAGAGAAATTTTCAATTTGTATGGTTATTTAGAATCCACAAGATATACCTTAAAGAGTAATATAATAAGTTGCCAACTTATAAACGAGTTCCATTCTGGGAGAATATTTGTAAGTCAGATTCGCTCATAAGTCTGGCAAAGTGCGTCTTATACAGTACATCTGTCAAAGTTCACAGACTGAATTTTCATAAGTCAAGGACCTACTGTATCATTTTAAAATATTATAAATATTCACCATGCAAAAAAACTGACTCCTTTTCAACTGTTCAAATTTATGAGACCTTTCAAAGGTCAACTTGAAAATGTACAGGGGAGTATATCTTTCTTCAAAATTCTGAATAGGAACTGTTAAGAACACTAGTTTGACAGAGCTAAGAGACTCTGAAGCACCCTGAAGGCTGGAACAAGTCTCACCAATAGCTATGGAAGCTTAAATAAAAGCTATGGAAGCTTAAATAAAATCTGTATGACAACTATCACAAGAATGGATACAGAAGAAACAGAAATCCCCAGATCAGTATCTTTACAACTGTCCAATTACGTTTCCCCTCAAACACGGGGGTGGGGGGGTGGGCACGGACCCAATTCCAGACATTGTTTCAACTATTATCAACTGACTTCCGACAGCTCTGCTAAACTTACTGTATGGCACAGCAATTTTCACTCGATGTGACTTTTCATATAACAATGACAGGACCCAATTCCAGACATTGTTTCAACTATTATCAACTGACTTCCGACAGCTCTGCTAAACTTACTGTATGGCACAGCAATTTTCACTCGATGTGACTTTTCATATAACAATGACTATTCTTTTAAAACTAAGACCTCTGAGGGCTGGAGATTTAGCTCAGTGGTTCCGCTGCCTGCATCGAAAGTGCAAGGACCGGAGTTTGATCCCCGGTAGAAAAAACCAAACCAAACCAAAAAAAAAGCAACAACGAACACCTCTGTTTTTCTTTCCACCATACCAAGTAATAGCTCCTCAGTTTACAGAGTTTAAGGAATACAAGCCTGAGAGCTGACTAACATCTAATCAGTCAGGTGTCACATGCTGTCATTTCCACTCCTTGGAAGACCTGCTATACCAACCTCCTCGCCTGATACAAAATACTCTAACAGGATAAAACACATATCTAAATAATCTAAATAGGTTAATATTAAAAATACTGAGTTGGGGGACCGGGGATTTAGCTCAGCGGTTCGGTGGCCTGCCTTGCAAGCGCAAGGACCGGAGTTCAATCGCCGGTACCAAAAAAAAAAAAAAAAATACTGAGTTGGGTGTGGTGGCACACACCCTGTTAGTCCTGGCACTACTGGCTGAGGCTGAGGCAGGAGGATCACCATGAGTTTGAGGTTAGCCTGAACTGCATAGTGAGACCCTGTCTCAAAAAGCATTAAATGGGGGTGGCAGGGACATAGCTCAGTAGCACCATGCCTGCCAGGCAAGTGCAAGGTTCTGAGTCTGATTCCTGGTACCAGGAAACAACTAAATAAAACCTAAAAAAGTCTCCCCAATCATTTTGGTAATTATTGCCAGGTATTAGAGGAAATGAAGTCATCAAAAAGCTTCAAGTTAAGTATGGCAGAGTAAGGCAGAGATGCAGAATTTACTCACACTCCATACACATACCATGTACACAGCCATTTGAGTTTTACACACGTGGATTATTTTAGCAATACAAGAGCAGTACTATTTTACTTTGTTTCTATTTTTGCAGTGCTGGGAAATCAAACCCAGAGCCTCATACATGCTAAGCAAGCACTCTACCACGGAGGCACCCATAGCTCAGTAAGCTGTTACAAAAGTAAGCAGCAGTGTAGTGCTTCAGTTTCTGCAGACAGTCTGTAATGCACAAAGGTTCAGCAATGGCCTAGACTCCTAAAGTTTGTTTTAGTACACTGTGAAAACAGTATCTTCCCCCCACGCATATTAAAGAATGATGAGGAAAAAAAGAATGACGACTCACTGCAGGCTGTAAAAATTGCCAGCCTTAACATGAGCCAATCAAAAATCAACAGATACACTGAAGGTTTTGTTGTGCAGCATCTCCTGGGAAGCAGTAGCAGCATGGCACCGTTTTATTCAGTACCTTTACATTTAACAATAAGCCTGTACACAATTTTTCTTACTGAAAGCCAGACATAACTGTCCAAAAACTGCAAGAAGTGTTGGCCTTTCTCTTAAACATTTAAGATATATGAAATGCTGTAGACATTCTTTTCTAAGGGGTCAATTTCTTGAAAACAGGTTTCAAGATGAGCTCTAACGATCTGTAGAAGCATCTTGCCCAAACCAAACACAGCCAGGTCAGCAAACACCACATTAGGAAGATGTGAAATCCCAGGCCAGTGAACTGCTGATGTTTTGCATACTTTAGACTTGAGTTAAAATCATGAAGAATTGACCACAACTTTCTCATCTTCAGATCAGCTCTGGGCTGTAACAGATTTGTGTTTTGTTTTTGTTTTTTTATGAACTGCCCGAAGCATATATTTAAATTAGCTAAAATTTCAGTTGCTGGGATTCCTCACCCCCAGAGAAATTTATCAAGAATATTTGTGGGTCTTCGGTTGGGACATCAGAAGAGGATGAAAATATAAAATTGGGAGAGGTGGGCATTCGGGGATGGAATAGTCAAGTGATTCTAACAACCTTCAATTTAAATCTAAAAACCCCAATTAAAGAAAATACATTATGTGTGCTCCTTATGGTACCAGGATGAGTACATTTTCTACTTTACTGCATAAATAAGCATTTAAAACTTTCTTACTCAAATGCTTTAAATGATAAATAAGGTTCCTGTGATAGTGTCCATGACGGTAACTTTCTGAGCCAATAGTTAATCACAGATATGTGTCCAAGAGTGACAAATCCATTTTTTGGCACCTTAATAGTGCAAACATTTCAACAGTACTAATTAATACATATGGTATCAGTTATTTAAAAAAATTTTAATGTTCTATGTTTATATTTACTGAGGGTACATAGCAGATCTAACTAAGTTCACACAACAGAATTGTACACTGTTAGGTCAGAGTGATGTGATGAAGATTCGCTGTTTTATCTGACAAAATTCATACTACACCCAAAGCACCCCCTGGCTGCTTGTTGTGAGATCCAAGTCTAAGTGTAGTGAGGTGTACTATTTTGGCCTGAAGCATTAAGTCACAATGCAGGTGCCAAGAAGAAACACTAATGCAGTCAACAATTTTTTTTTCCCCGTACGTGCTGCCAACGAGGCTTTTAAAAGCACAGACAGACACACACTCTTATACTGCATGCAGGGAAATGTGACATGGAGTATTGCACATGTTAATGCCAAGCTTGCTGCCATCATTTAAAAAATTTTTATCAGTTATATGAGAAAGCAAAAACCTTTTTAAATTACATAAAAATTATATCTACTTTAAAAATAACTTAATAATGAAAATATTTTCACTGCTCTTGAAGGAAGTGTGTGTGTGAAGGATAAAGAGGGAGAGAGGAATGGGGAAGAGAACAAGGAGGGAACACGTATCTGTGAATGTCTTTTTCCCTCCAAAACCACCCATGGTCAACATTGTTTTTGCTTTGTTTTAAAAGTGTTAGATTTAGGAAATTTTCCTCAGTGAGGAACAAACAGAAAGCAGGCAGTCTAAACAAAAGCAAATTAAATCAAGACATGGACATCAAAAGCAATTTTGGCTTTACTTTTCGGTGGAAGTTGGTCCTATATCTAACACTGCACAAGGTTTCTTGCACAATGAAAAGAGAAGCAGAAGTCCCTTACACTGCCTCGCTTTGCCAGAGAATCACCGTAGTCTGCTGGCAAAGTCCGCTTGCTGGACTTTTTCTGCTCATGTTCAACTGCATCTTCAATTATAGGCTCAAGCCTCATCTGGACAAACACCAAAGATTGGGATCAATGTCTTTTCATTATACAAAGAAAGATCTAATTATTCTGTTTCATGTCTCTGCAGTCCAATTAAACAAATGTATGACTAACAGGATTCAAAGTTAAAGAAAATGCAAAACCCCAGCAGTGACAAAAATTGGACATTCTAGGCCCCAACTTAATCTTTTGTCAACTTCAAGACTTTAAGGTCTATTTCTGAGACCTGATTGGGATTTCAGCATCTTCATTCAAGATCCCACCCAAGAAACTAATCCATAAACAACCCCAAATTTAAATATACAATTTCCCCACAAATTTCTCAAAGAATATCATGTCAGTCTACCACCCAATCTTCCCCAACCCCCTTGTCATGAAACTCATCTGAGAGGTAGTGCTAATGTGCAAACCTCTGCTTCTCTTCCAAAATCAAATGCTGCACCACATTACCTCTGTGAGGATTGTGGTATCATATGACGGCTGATACTTTTCTTTTTCATGAGCTGTTCTCTTCTCCATCTTTTCTCGATCAGTTTTTTGTTTTCTGTCTGCACCTTTGGGCTTAAAAACAAAGTAATTATTTGATTCATCAGGCTGCAAAAAGCTTTACAAGCACAACTGAATTTTAATTACTGACAGCTTGGTTTCCACCTCTTACCTTAAAAACTTTGATCTGGCAGCTGGCTGAGTGAAGATGATCTGTGTATTCCCCATTTTCATTCTGCTTAAAGGTGTCAACCTGAATCCTAAAAGGCACTCCCTTTTCACCTCCGTGCTTCCGTGGGGTAAATTCTGTGCTGATGCAGTGCACCTATAAAAAACTCATGCTGAAATGGATTCAAAGCACTTCTCAGTGACAGCCTTTCTGTTTTGTTCCCTCTTGGTTGCCCGGCCATCACTATTCATTCAAGATCCTTAAAATGCACCTCCAGAAATTAGCCAAATTCTCCCATAAATTTCCCTGTTGTCCGTTTTGGTACAGGGATCAGACTCAGGACCTTGAGCTTTGAGGCAGACGTAGGCACCACTAAATCCCCAGTCCGTTCCCTAACTGTTTTAATACATGACTCCTTTCAGAGATCCCACTGTTTTTAGGCTTGCTGAGAACAAGCTCTTCCCCACTGTAATGCCTCTCCTCCAATGCAGGACTTGCTCCAGTCAGAGAAGCACCAGCACAACAGTGTCTATGCACGCTCCCTACCACACCACTCCACAGCATTTGCTACTCTCACACTCAACAGTTCTAAATTCTGCTCAACCCATAGCAATCATCACCTCATTGTTTCTAGCAGTCTGTTGTTTGCCATCTACTGCCACTACCCACCCTTGTTGTAGACAAACTTCCTGTTGTACACAGTCTCACTGCTGCTCCCACACGTACACAAATTTGTCACGCTTTGCCTAGAGAACTTCAACAGTCCAGAAAGCCCACCACACAAAACAGTCTCAAGGTACTGCACAGACTTATTGGCAAGATTATGGTCATTTCTGACTGCTATGCATATTCTCTTTGAAATGACTCATGATGTGAAAACTGACCTCTACAAGATGCCTGCACAACCGGAAAGGCAAAGCCAGCTCTCATTATCACTGTTTCTACATTGCTGGCTATTGTATGGGACAAACATCAACAGCAATATTTTCTCATATTGCCATTCAACTAATATGAATCATGGCTGCAGTGATTACTAACTGACAGGGAACACTTGGTAGACCACCACAATGCACAATACTAACGAGTCTTTACAACTGATACAAACTGTAACCTACTTAACGAAAATACATCATGTAAAGATACAAGATCCTAATGATGAATATAACTGTACTGTATACTTAAAATGTACCAATAAACTTTGTGGGAAAAAAACAAAACAAAACAAAACAAAAAGCTTTAACCTACTTAGGCTGGTCAGCAATTAAATGGTGTTTTTTTTTTTTATAAAGTTTACCTACTAGTTTTAATTCCACCACTAAACACAGAAGGTATTAGAATTACTGGGCTTTTTAAACATGTAATAATTATATTACGTTTTTTCTTAAAAATGTATCTCTTACATGGTATTTACTGATTAAGTAGGTATAAGGGTATGTTTTAAAGGCTACTGATAATAACTACAAAAGGGGGAAAACTAGTAACATTTGAAGCCAGGTGAAGGGTACATGGAGAGTCATTACTATTATTGTCTATTAGTGGAGGTTTGAATTTTTCATTAGTAGCATGTTTTTATTTTTGGTACCAGGGATCGAAAATGGGTTCCTTGTGCTTTTGAGGCAGGCAGTGGCACCTCGGAGCTAAATCCCCAGCCAGTATCATGTTTTTAATAATGCTAAAAAAAATTTTTAAACCATAAAGTTTTTTCAGTCATACCCTTTTAAGTAGCAGCTTCTGCTCAAGAGAAATGCATCATAAAAGATATTTTAATTACTGTGACTATTAATGGCAAAAATAGAATGTTTTACATTATTAGTCTTCATACATCTAAAACATGGTAAATTTAGGTTAAACCCATTTTTAAGTTTGTAAAGAAAAAAAGACATTAAAATAGTTTACAAAATAAGCATTTTAAAATATAACATGTCAAGAATTAACTCTCACTCTGGCCTTCTAAATGACTTGGTCACTGTGATTCTTATAATGTAAAACTCCAAACCTGAATGAAAGCAGATGTGCGTTTTGCAGGGTCCCACAGAAATTCAACTGCATTTAACTGGCTTGGATTTGTCCTTGTATCAATTATTCCCACAGACATTGGAATATCTGTATTGTAAAAAGAAGGTATGTAAAAATGCATACATTTTAAATAATTTAAAAATCTTACAACTTGAGCCAGGAGTGGTGTTGCAAATGTGTATTCCCAGCTACTCTCAGGAGACTAAGGCAGAGACTAAGGGTCGCTTAAACCCAGGAGTTCAAGACCAGACTGAACAACAGTGAGACCTCATCTCAAAAAACAAAACAAAAATCAGGAAAACCCTTACCATTTAATATACAGCATTACAAGGAAATAATTACATCCATGATGAACTTTTCCCTTCAAAGCTCTCCACAGTCCACTTTGTCTTCAATAGCAAAAACCTACTTAAGATTTAGTTTCTCCTACGATTTTATTTCACTTTATTAAAAATATGATGGATAAATACCAAATGAGAATTAAAATAGTTGCAAAATTATAAAATTCCCCGTTAGCAAACAAAACAAAACCACCCCCCCAAAAAAAACAAACAACAACAACAAATCACTTTTTAAGTATAAAACAATTCTCAAAGCACAGAATCTAGTGACACAAAAACTCTCTCTACAGTTACATGGCGCCAACATATTAATGGGCATAGCTAAACAAGGTCATCTCTGTGGTATTTGTCTACTGCCTGTACCTAAATCGAGCAGTCTATCTCCTGGGCGATTCCACTTCCAGCCTTCAAGTTGCTGATGCTCTGTGTACTGCAGCCGTCTGTCATGGAATACAACCCTTATGATGCTCTGTGGAGTAAGTGGGAAAATGAGCACTTTCAAACCACTCCAGTTAAAACACAGAGGCATTATGTATTAACCTATAATAGATGAGCATACAAAAATACATTCTAATTTAACCACTCCATAATTTTTTTGTTCTTGGATACTTGGATTATGATATTTGGTGCTAAGACTTACAGCCCGAAAATGAGAAGTACTAACAAAAGGGTTACAAGTATACATTTTACATAAGATGTTGATATTGTAAACCAAATTCAAGGTATATCCATGGCCATAAAATTAGTGAACAAGAATTCTGTTTCTATGAAAAAAAATGCCAGATACACATGAAGTATAAAAAGTCATCAAAAATGACAGAACCCCAGGTATAATGATAAAACTGTTAATTTAAAATAAGAGTTAATCAAGCTGGGCATGGCGGCACACACCTGTAATTCCAGCACTCAGGAGGCTGAAGCAGGAGTATCACCAAGAGTCTGAAGCCAGCCTGGGCTACATAGTGAGTTCAAAGCCAGCCTTAACTTCATAGTGAAATCCTCTCTCAAAAACCCTAAATACTGTCGTGACCTGCCTCGCAAGCACAAGGACCTGAGTTTGATCCCTGGTACCAATACAAAACAAAAACCCTGAAGGAAGGAAGGAAGGAAGGGAGGGAGGGAGGGAGGGAGGGAGTTAATCATTGCACTTCTTTAATAGGACATTCTGTCAACTGGCCAAAAGAAACAACAACCACAAAACCCTCTCCACCCACTCCAAAAGAGAACCTAATATAAAATTAATTCTCAACTATTTTTTTAAAAGATTTTGTCAGCTCATTTGTCTTGTGATGCTGGCAAGTGAACACAGGGTGTCATATACACTAATTAAGTCCTCTACTACTGAACCACATCCCTGGGAAAAAAGTTACCAGATAAATTGTATTCAAACACTCAAATCCCTAGCTAAGGCTTAAACCCCTCTCCAAACTCTAGGCCCATTCTCTGCTCTTCACACACACACCTCCTTGAACTTCCAGTGGCTTGGGATGTCAACCAGTTTCATTCCAAAACAGAAAAACAAGCGACCGAAATGCATTCAACACCATATTTAGAAAAGCAAAACACAGAAAATGTCATGTTTGCAATTATTACTTGTTCAGTAATAACTAGTATAAATCCACATCGATGAAAATAATGAGAGCATAGATGTTAGATTTACAAATTTTATTAAATCCCATTCCAGAATGTCAGACTAAGGTAGTAGATTAAGGAAGATGAAAAGAGTAACAAAGTTAAGAAAATGCAAGATATATATGAAAACTGTGAGAAACTTGTTATCTGGAAATTCTAACTAAAAAGAGACTGAACTAACATAAACAAAGGAGCTGTACCATTAAGACAAAATAGAGCAAGAGTGGAAACTCATCACTGAATATGTCCAGCACATTAAAGTTCAAAAGCACTTCAGGAACATATTGCTGGTTTCCAAGATAACCTCCAAAATTTAAGCAGAATATTTGAAGGTTAGAGGGCCAGTAAATAAACTCTAGAAAGCTGTAGCGCATTTTAAGTAGCTAGCTAAAGAAGGATGTGTGTACTTTCCAGAAACTCCTCCTACAGTCTTTGGTTGTAAAAGACAGTAGTTCTGAATCCCAGGTAAGCTCTCAGGATATGGAATTGGATGTGTTCTGGTACATCCAACAAAAATCGAGTATGTGCTTTATCAAATGGGAGATGAACTGGCGTAAGATCTTTCAAAAATCAGTTCTTTTATTCAGTGGGCTAAATGTTTATGAATGCTAGTGAGATGTCAACAAAATGTTCACTGTGCATTTATAGCTGGATAGTTTTTCTGTCAGACTCATTATCCCAAGATGAAGTGTCACTATTATTCTTCACTCAAATCACTTTTATCTATTTTGTTTCTTTCAAAATGCAATTCTGAAATTTTATTTTTGCAGCACTAGAGACTGAACCAGCGCCTCAGGCATGTCAGATGAGCATTCTAACACCGAGGTACTCCCAACCCATATTGTTTTTTGGTATTTAATTTGAAAATAAATCGGGCCAGGGATTTGGCTCAGTGGTTTCACCGCCTGCCTAGCAAGCGCTTGCTAGCATAAATTCAATCCCCGGTACCAAAAAAAAAAAAAAAAAAAAAAAAAAAAAAAAAAAACCAAAAAAGCTAAAAAAAAAAAAAAAAAAAAAGAATGAAAATAAATCCAATGAAGCTGAACAATTTAATCAATTAACCCTCTCACTCCAAGTTAATCTGACATATTTAACTATCTTGCCATAAGTATTTTAAACATTTTTTTTTTAATTTGACTTCCATCAAGGGCTGGGGATTTCAGCGGTTCAGTGGCCTGCCTTGCAAGTGCAAGGACCCGAGTTCAATCCCCGGTACCAAAAAAAAAAAGACTTCCATCAAAGTAGTTATTTTTAAATTCTACCATCTCCTAGGCATGGTGCTCCATGCCTGTAACCCTAGCACGCAAAAGACTGAGGCAGGAGAACTGCCAAGAGTTAAGAGGCCAGCCACCAGGGCTACACAGTGAGTTCAAAGCCACGCTCAACTACAAAGCAAGACCCTATATCAAAAAACAAAACACATAAATCTTATCATCTATTCTGAGAACTGGGCTAAAAAGCTAGTACATTTTCAATTGTAAGTAACAATAATAACTACCTCAAATTGTTTTAATCCAATGCTTTGAGGGAATTTTGAGTATGTGATCGGGGCATCAAAGTTTGTTATATTTTCCTCAGAACTCAGGACATCAAATAGTCATGAATGATAAACTGAATTAAAATAATGACTTAGTAAATTGTATAACCCAACACACACACACACACACACACACACACACACACACACACACACACACATACACATACACACAAACTGTTTAAGTGGGTTGGTTGGGGAAAACTTAGGATGAGAACTCCTGATACAGATGTGTTTATCATGTGTACCACACAATAGATGTATGTAGATTAACTGTCTACTTCTGGGTATGTTCAAATTCTGCCATAATAAGAGGTTAAAAAAATTACATTTTTGGATTTACTTTTAAAGACCTCAGCACAAGGCTTGTTAAGTCCTATTCAATTTTATTGCAGAATCTACAATTAAAACCATTTTCAACCTTTTAACAATAATATATTTCTAAGAAAAATCAAATTTACATGTTAGTTACCAAATGTAACTTTCACAGTGACCCACATCTTAAAAAATACATTACTGAGGCTAAGTATATAGATTAGTGGTTGAACAAATGCCTAGAATTTGTTAAAGCCCTGAGTTCGATCTCCAACACTACAAAAAACAAAAACAAACACTATTTGCTTGAATTTTAGTCAGGTGTAATACAACTAGCAGATCTGCCTAAAGGTGACTAGGAGCAACAAGCCAAATGGAACCAAAGGATGCAAAGAATCAACAACATTCCTGTGCTTTCCAGACACTGGGACTTGAGAGCTGTCTTTGCAACCAATTGTTATCAATGGTGATAACTCCCCTCACCCCCAGTCCTGAAGAATAAACCCAGGGTCTTCACACTGAGCTATACCCCTAGACCTTTATTGAGACAGGGTCTCACTAAATTAAGTTGCCCATGCTGTGTTTGAACTTGCCATCCTCCTGCCTCACACTCCCAAAGTACTAGGATTACATCTGGGTGTTATCATATCTGGCTCCCTGATGAGTTAATTCCCACCGGCTTAAACCTCCAGTAGTATATGCTTGGCTATTCCATGAGACAGTGTCAACCACCAGTGGTTCGCTATTTAACATCAGAGGATGGAATTCAAATCTGAGCCTTAAGGCCCAATATGAATGTTTAAACAATGGATCCAACTGATGTTTGTTACATGCCAGAAAGCCAAAAGAGGGGGAGAATGAACAACCCCACTGATTGGGCATAGATAAGAAGACCTACAGTAATTTTGGAAATGAGCAAATAACTTTTTCTCCTTGTTTTCCAAGTACCTGTATGTCAGAAGCCCCAACAATCAGAAAAGGAAATTCGGCAGCTCATTCTGAGCTGGCAAAACAATGGTCCATTGGGGACCAGGTCACCTGTCTTTCCCTCATAGAGAAAGGAAAGAGCTAAGCTCACCCTCCTATAGGAATGGACCTTCCTTTCCCCCAAAATGAGAGGAGTACTGAAATTTATCAGTCTATCCTCTCAGGCCTCTAGGTGCTGGGCAGCTGGCTCTCTCAGTAAGCCGAATTCAGACTGCCTATCACAAAGTAGCCCAAACACCTACTCTCTCCATTACAGTCCCTTTCCCATGCTCATCTTCTAAAATGACAAGATCCACAGACAGGAGTCTTCCCCATGGAATGCCTCTCCAGACCAAGGGCTCAGCAACACTGGGGCGCTAAAACGCCATTCTGTGCGAAGATGGAAGATCAGGAGAACTCATGCCTATTGGGACTGCCTCTTGTTAACATTTAAAATCTTTGCCTTTCGCTAAATGAGCTTATTCTGTAAACACTGCCCGGCAATGCTGAGGCATTTATAATAACCCTGATTCATGACAGCCAAAGGTTATACATGGGTGGGGCAGGGAAGACAGACCCTAAAAGGCTGACCAGACAATGGCCATATACCTCCTTATATCTAGGATGACTGGCTTCTAACACAGACTTCAAATTTTATTTAATAAAATTTAAGGATTAAAAAATTTTTGTATTAACAGTTATATCCCCTTCATCCACACATTATCTTTTTGGTGCTGGGGCTCAAACTCAGGACCTTGCGCTTGCGAGGCAAGTATCAGAACCATTGAGCTAAATCCCCGGCCGCTCACACATTATCTTTTAATAAAAAAGTTTAGTCTTTTGTTGTACTGGTGGGTTTTTCCTCCTATAACTGCAGCTAACTTATTTACCACTCCTTGGTCCCAAAAACTATAATTCCCATTTTACACGAGTGAACAAAATATTGTCAAAATAAAAGATTTACTACATCCATTACTTCCTGATTTGAAATTTTAGGGTGTTTTTTTTGTTTTTGTTTTTTAAATAAAAACTAGTAAGGTAAGACCGCCACTTTACTCAATTACTGCATTATCTGGTTAGGAATTAAAACAGACTGTCCTTACCTTTACCAATTTTCCACTGATCTCTGGCATATCTCCCATTTTCCGATTATCCAACATCCGAATTTCATAAGACTGGCCTATTTAAAGAAATTATGTATCAAAATCATCCATGTAAAGAATAATGTTTTACATAATTTAGCTGCTTCTCAGAACATAAAATTAACCAATGTTAGTTTGTTCATCTGCTAGAGAAGCAAACACAGGTTCCTTGCAAATCGTATCATCCTTTTCTTCAAATATTATTACAGTAGACTTAAGAACTGGTCTCTCAATTTACTTCATCTGCCACATTCTTAAAAACGTTTTATTATGGATGTGTGCATGTATGTATTGTGCATAATCTCACACTAATTTTTAGTTTTTTTGATACTCACATGCCATAAAATTCATTTTTAAATAATTCATTATCTTGCTGGGCGTGGTGGCACTGCATGTAATCCCAGCACTCAGGAGGCTGAGGCTGGAGGATTGCTGTAAGTTCAAGACTAGCCTGGGCTACATAGTGAGTTCCAGGTCAGTCTCAACTACATAGTGAGACCCTGTCTAAAAAAAAAAAAAAAAAACAAAAAACAAACAACAAAACAAAACCATAAAAAACAAAAAAATTCATTAGCTTTTAGTATATTCAGAGTTGTGCAACCATCACCACTACTAATATTTGGAACATTTTCATCATCCTCAAAAGAAATGCAGGAGTTGGGAATGTAGCTCAGAGGTTAAAACACTTGCCTAGCATGCATGAAGCCTGAGTTTGATCTCCAGCAGACAAAAACAAATAAAACATTGGTAATCATTTCCTATATTCTCACCTTACTCCTGCAACCACTAATATGCTATCTCTAGTGATCTGCCTCTTCTGGACATCTTCATATAAATATAGACATAGTGTGTGGTTTTTGGTAAGTTGTTTCTTTTACTTGGCATAATTTTTTTTATTTTTTTTTAACTGTCAACAGTCTACTCTATGAACACAACAAGTATTTTTTTATCCATTTATTGTCTAATGGACTTTAGGGTTGTTTCCATTTTTTGGCTATAATGAATGATGTTATGAACATAAGTAAACAGGTTTTTGTATACAGATCAAGGCCAATCTTTAATCCTTAAGCCATTTCCTCATATCTAATGAATCCAAATCGTTTTTCCAATGCTCAGTGTCTATTAAGAAATGCAGATAAAGGGGGTGAGGGGAGGGCAGGGACAAGGAGAAAAATGAGAACCAAGACCTGTCATGTAAAGGTACAAGATCCCAATAATGAATGTAACTGAACTGTATATCAAAAATGTACCAATAAACTCAATGAGGGGGGAAAAAACGCAGATAAAAGGGATGAAGTTGTGCACCCCTATTATCTAAGTACTCAAAAAGCCGAGGGAGGAGGATTGCAAGTTTAAAACCAACCTGTGCTACATAGTAAGTTTAAGATAGGCATGTGTTACCATCCCTAATTAGGAGAAACTTTAATTAAACTATGACACAGACTGGAAGAAGTCTGTAGCATATGCAAAACTGGATCTGAATTTAGAAAATGAGAAATAATTTTTTGAATAAAGCATATAGAGCCAGGCATGGTGGTGCACATCTATAATATGTGGTCTTACTATGTAGTTGAGACTGACCTTTAACTCACTATGTAGCGCAGGCTGGTCTCGAACTCCAGCACGCAGGAGGCTGATGTAGAAGGATTGCCTCAAATTTGAGGCCAGCTTGGGCTACAGTGAGTTCAAGACCAGTCTGAACAACATGGTGAGACCTTCTCTTAAACCCTCTTCTCCCCCAAAAAAGAGCCTATAGGTAGCTTTGAAAAATATACCACTATACATTTAAAATTATACCTCAAAGGCTGAGGATTTAGCTCAGTGGTTCCATTGCCTACCTGGCAAGTTGAAAAATATACCACTATACATTTAAAATTATACCTCAAAGGCTGAGGATTTAGCTCAGTGGTTCCATTGCCTGCCTCGCAAGCACAAGGACCCGAGTTCAATCTGCAATACCAAAAAAGAAACTGCACCTCATAAAAATTTAGGAAATAAAAATTAACAAAAGTCTGTGATTATTAGATCAACTAAATATGTTTGATTAAGTAAAAATTAGGTCCACAAGAATGAGAAGAAATAATATGAAGAATATAATGTGAAGAATGTAAACTGATAAAAGTCTTTCTAAAAGGCAATCTGAATGCACCTATCAACAAGTTAAACACTGGATCTTTTGACTTAGGGATTCTGATTGGCTAAAACAAAAAGATAATACAAGAGGGAGAATATTCACAACTCACATCACACAAAAAGGGCTGACCTTCCTAATATATAAAGATCTCATAAAATAGTTAACAAATACCCAATATCACTTGAGGTAAAATGAGCAAACAAAATGAACATATGAGGTGGGTTGATAAAAAAAGGAAATAACAGGCATATCAGGACACTCAACCTGAGAGAAATATAAAACTACAGTGACATAATTTTTCACCTATTAGGATAGCACAAATCCCTTAGCTTGAACAGGCAAGGCTAAAGGAAAGTCACATTCACAGACAGACAGTAGAAGCGGGGGTGGTAAGGAGAGGTCGCTCTCTGGAGATATTTTGAAGGGAGATCCTAAATAGAATTTTCCGTAGTCTATATTGGATGTGATGTATGAGAGAGAGCTGAAGATGACCCCAGATTTTTTCAAGGATCTAAATAACAAATGCCACTTCCTGACATGGTGGCAACAGCAAGGAGAAAATTAGGAGTTTGACAGAACATATTAAGACTGAGATATGTATTATACATACAAATTGATTACACATTTGGAGATAGGAGGAAGAGATCCTGTTTGGAGATCTCAATAGGAGATCTTTCAAGGTTACAGGTATTACAGAAAGCCATTGAAGGCAGGATCACTACGGAGTGTAAGTAAACACTAAACCACTCCTTGGCACGATGTGAGTAACACATAAAAAAGCAACCAGTGGGAGATGAAGTAGTGTTCTGGAAGCCCTTTTATTTGGCTGCCCAGGCAGCAGAGAAAACTTGTCTCACTGAGATTATTATATAATCCTCAGAAACTCATAGTTCTCAGGATTAAGAAAATCAAATATGTAAAGAAATCTCAATACACCCTATCTTCTTTTTCAGTTTTCTTCCTGGTCAACTTAAGGAGGTAAACTTCTAAACTCAATACAAAGTTCAATCTATTTCCAAGCAGATCTGAAGACTTGCTGCTCCTATATTAAAGCACCCTAAGTGTCTGTGATGTTAACCCTATGTCAACGTCACTGGATTAAGGAACATCTAGCACATCAGTAAAGCACACACATGGCTCATGGTGTGTCCAGGTGAGTCATCAAGGCATGACCTTGGGCAAAATATGCAGTTCCTTCACCATTCCTCTCCGGCACTGCTACCCTGCTCTGCTTCCCAGCTGCCATGAACTAAGCAGTTTTTTACTCCACCATGCCCTTCTGCCAGTGGTTTCTGCCTTGGAACCTGACAAGCATGCAATGAATCTCCTGAAACCATGATACCTTTCCTCCTTCAAGTTGTGAGCATCAAATATTGTGTTTCAGCAACGGAAAAGCTAATAAAATTTTTCCCAAAATCAAAATGGATTTTTGTTTTACTTACTCCTTTTTTTGAGGCAGGGTCGCACTTTGCAATTCAGGCTGGCTTTGAGTTAACTATGTAACTCAGGCTGGACTTGAACTGATGTCAATCCTCCTGCCTCAACTTCCTGAATGCTAGGATTACAGGCATGGGCCTCCACACCCCATAGGTAGATTTTTTTAAAAAAGGCTTTGTAACATGTTATGTTTCAAATGACATCCTTAGTGAAAACTTACAATCTTCAATGGCAATATCCACTGAATGAGTATTTTTACAGACTAATTTCTTCTATCTGTCTCCTATCCATAATTAATTATACAACTTCCTGAAAGTCTGGGTTCTAACTGCATATAAAGAAGGTTCTTCTATTAATGAAATATAAAGTTAACAAAGTCTTACATTTTATGATATGCTAGTACTCCTTTTAACTTTACCTTTTTAATTTACCCTTTATGCTCTCATATTCTGCTCCCTCTTTTTTTGGATTAGAAACACAAAAGCAGTGCCAGGGTTGAAAATGCAATTGTGAGTTCATGTCCCTTCCTACCTTTGAATATACAGACTCAATCTAGCTTCCTCTCATGGACTCCCCAGCAACATGGAGCCCAAGATGTGACCAACCCCGCCCACAGTCTTAGAAACCTTACTTCTAAGGTCCTAACATTAAATCAACCTATTAACAAGAACCAAAGCTAATCAAAATGAAATCCACTATGACACAAAATATAACTAATTTTAAAAGCTTTATTTTTAGAAGCTTATTAACATTAAACACTTTAAGCCAATAAACACACTATTTCCTAGGGCCTCAGATTTGTCTACAAAGTAGCTAATACTGGTTAATTAACATTCTCAGCAGAGTATCCTCCAAGTAGAATTTGGCCTCCAAAAGAACAGGCATGTGGGGAGAAACTAGGAGAAAGGGTCTTTTTACTGGAAGAATTTTACTGCTGATCCAGCAGCAGCAATGAGCCAACTTGGAGCGCAGCAAGGAGGTAGGATCAGGAGTCTCACTCACTTCACGAGGTACAACAACTTTTACTCCATGAAGTGGGAGACCTATCTCTTATGGATGGATGGCTATTCATGCAGGACTAGGTAAACACTAACAGGTTTTAAACTGTACTTCTCTGGTTCAGAAACAATCTAAATGACACTATACAAATCAAAACAAAACAAAACAGTACTGGTTCCAATTCCTACTTGACAAAGACTACAAAAAACTTTCTTAGCCAGACATGGTGGCTCACGTAATCCCAGAACATGGGAAGATCACTGTGAGTTTGAGACCAGCCTAGGCTACATAGTGAGTTCTAGGTCAGTCTCAACTACATAAAAAATCAAAAAACAAACAAAAAATTTTCTTTATGGTGTTATACAATAGCAAATATTCTTTTGTTTTGTTTTCTTTTGTTTTGAGACTGTCTCTCTATGTAGTTCAGGTTGGTCTCAAACTCACTATATAGCCCAGGCTGGCCCTGAA